GTCGGCTACATGGGAGTCCAGCGACATAGCCATTACGCTAACTGCTGGTCCCCTGCTATCAGTTTTTCTTGTTATTATAAATAACGCTGCCATAAACATCTTCACGTGCACTGCCTTTTCCTCCTCTGTTCCACTATGTCTTCGTCTTCGGGCTACTGCTCTAGGCCTATAATTATCTGGTCAAAAGGCATGAGCATTTCAGGAATTCACAGAACAGATTGCTTTTCCAAAAGACCTGTTACAGTTTCTGCTGCCAGCCTCGACACACCCTTGAAAGCCGAGGGTTGGGCAATTCTTGGCTGAAGAAGGAAGAATCAATCATTTTAAATAAGCCTAATAGGCAGCTGAGGTCATAAGCGGTTCTGTGCCTGTTACATCGGGGTGCATCTGTTTGCTTCATTAAGGCCAATAAAAGCCCGAGACAGTGGGGTCAGGGAGGGACTTTGCCTGCAGGAGGGGAGGTGGCTGTTGGAGTCTGCACCCAGAGCTTTGCCTATCCTGGCCTAAAAGCCAGTTCGGGCCCAGATGCCTAGTGGGTGAGCTTCAGGCCCCTCTAGGGAGCCCTGTGGGGAGATGGGGCTCCCCGAATGGCTTCTGCACAACCCCGAGGGGTTGCTCTAAGAGGGATTCCAGGGCTCTGCCCAGGGTGGTGCCTGGATGATCAGTAACCACCCAGCCTCACCACCACAGTGAAAGCTCTCACTGGTGACCAAGCCTCCAGAGGACTCCCATACCTTCTAGGGGAGGTCAAGGCCTGGTTTCCTCTTTGATTCAACAGACTTCTCTAGGACCCGGGCCAGCCCTCCCGATGCACAGACAGGGTGGTGGACCTCAGGTCACAGGCTGGGGGTCACCGTCTGGCTCCTAAGGGACCCGCTGGGCAAACTGAAATGCAGAGGGTGGCACTCTTAAGAAGGGGGCACTTGGGCTGGCGGGTGGCATGGTGGTTCGACTGCAGTTCGAATCCTGGACCTGGCAACTTGCTTTCTCACTTTCCTTCTCTCTTTCTGTCCGTCTCTGGTCAAATTAAAATTAAATAAATAAATAAAGTTAAATAAAATAATTATAAAAAATAAAAAAGGGGGACCAGCAGTTAGTGTAATGGCTATGTCGCTGGACTCCCATGTAGTCGACCGTGGTTCAAGTCCCGGACCCGATGGCTTAAACTCACGCCAGGGACTAGCAGTTAACATAATGGCTATGTCTCTGGACTCCCATGTAGTTGACCGCGGTTCAAGTCCTGGACCTGGCGGCTTAAACTCACGCCGGGTGCGTGTGTGTGCGTGCCCAAGATCCCAAGAGGAGAATGGAGGAGAAGGGATTGCGGCGTGGCCATCCCCC